GCACCCTACTGTAACATCACCTGCCCCTGTGCTCCCTTTAATCCCTTTAATCAGAGACCCATAAGCTCTCTGTTGGGTCTTTGACCCATAAGCTCTCTGTTCAGAAGCTCAACATGAGCCAGCACAGCCCAAAAAGCCAACTGTATCCTGAGCTGCATCAGAAGTGTGGCCAGCAGGTCAAGGGAGGTGATTCTGCTCCTCTACTCCACTCTATTGAGACCCCAGCTGGAGTAGTGCACCCAGCTCTAGGGTCCCCAGCATAGGAAGGACATGGAGCTGTTGGAGCAAGGCCAGAGGAAGGCCATGAAGATGATCAGAGGGCTGGAGCACCTCTCCTGTGAAGACAGGTTGAGAGTGTTTGTGAAGCCTGGAGAAGAGAAGGCTCCAGGAAGACCTTATAGTGGCCTTCCAGTACCTGATTAAACACACCTGCCATTGTGATATCCAGCTTTCCTTCTTCCCTCAACAACCATGGTGCAAAAAAGTCTTGCAAAGATTGCAATAGTGATATGCTGAAAAGAATTACTCAGAAATTAATTTTTTTATATGAATCACCATCAAACAAGCATTATTTATTCAGTGTCTTGTATGAGTAAATTACAGCTACATCTGGAAAGCTTTTTCAAATGCAATTTCTTCTGCACGTAACCTCAGGCAAAGGAACTCTGCATCCTCTCCCTCATGGCAGTAATTTGACTTCACAAAGATGTTTGATTCCTGACACAAGGAAGAAGCAAGATTTATGAAGATGACACAGTGACTCAGCAAGCTCAAAGACAAGGCTCTTAGCTCACCCAACAACTTTTTACACTTCCAAAATCCAGGCAAATTTCAACAGAACTCAAGACATTTCTGAAAATACTGAGGAGGAGAAAACCCCCAGCTCATTGTGCCTGTATTAAGTTTAAAAACTATAATTTGGGGGAAAGGGAGACACAAAAAAGCCATCAATTTCAATGCTATTCATTTTATCCTCTGGTTATCCTAAAGGGAGAGAAAAAAAAAAAAAAAACCAAAGCAACATTGCCATGTGGTCCACAAATGACCCAAAGTACAAAGTCAACCCTGTGAAACCTCTTCACCAAAGCCAGACCGAAACGGCAAATATTGCCCCTTGCTCTTTGAAACCACAGGGCTGGGTTGCACAACCTGCCCCTGGCACCTCCCCACCTAAATCTCCCAACTAAATCTCCCTGAAACCAGGCACCAAAGCTAGTGTTTCCCAGGGGGAACAGCCTCAGCTTCCCCACGGACCCATGGTCTTCTCCCAAAGCTTCCACCCTTCAGGATGCCACCGGCTGACGACCACCCATGGGACCCACCTGAAGAGCCAGCACTACCCTCATCCAAACGCCACACCACTTCCTAAGTGGCTGAGTGAAGGAGAAGTGTTTGCAATGTGCTTGTTTTTCAAGAGAAGGAGCAGAGACATTAAATACCCAAGGCAAAACCTATCACACCAAGCCAGCTAGTTTCCTCAGTCTGATTCTCTTCCCGCAGTTTGTCCCTACCTCAAAGTCCAAGTAACAAATGAAAGTCAAATCAGCGCTTTGCTCTCGGGACCAGGCTTGGGAGCTGGCTTTAAGGAGCAGTTGCAGAATGAGGCCAGACAAAAGCAATGCACTCAGTTATTTCCAGCACGTACCGATGCCTTTAATGAGCCGGCAGTTCGGGGGGGACACTGGGGCGATTTCCCGGGAAGCGTTGAGTCTGTTCCTGCGGGAGGAGAGAGGAGGGTTAACAGCACACAGTCAGCTTTAACACAGGTAACATTCCTAGCATAGCTTTATCTTGGTTTTATTGTCTGCCGTATCGCAGCGACTAGTCAGCTGTAAAATACTGAATAAGCAAAACCCAGAACTGACAACAGCGATTGCCCCAAATCACTGTGATGGCTGCAGGGTCATTCTCCACCCTGAATGTCTGCAGGAACCCGACTTTGCTCACCAGCTTCAGGAAAGAGCTTTCATGATCCACCACGGCTCAAACAATAAAATAACACGGCCACGTTTTCTTCAGGTTTCAGCCACCTAAATATAGTAGCCCCTGCAGTTAGGACCAGCATTTCAGATGAGGAGAGGGAGCCTTCTTCTACCCCAACCCACCGGCTGGATTTGGTGACCAGGCCACCAGCAGTTCCACTTGCTCCTTTTCTTAGCCCACACTGAGAAGTGGAGATAGTGTTACTGCAAGGCAGGACCACCCATTCCTTAACAACAGTGGGACTCGCTGGTACGATGTTCAGCAGTTACCCTCTCCCTTCCTCCTCTCTCCTGGTACCCGCCAGAGCACCATCCCTCAGCAGGGATTATTTCATTCCTGAACAGCCACGGAATTTGCTCTCCAGCCCAGGCTCCGCTGGACGAGCAGATACAGCCAGGTACCCACACATTAGTTTGCATTTCTTCATCTCCTCCATCCCAAGTTGTCCCCAAATCTATACGAAAGGCACCTCACCACCAGGACTGCTGGCTGTCACCATGGTGGTGCCACGAGCAAATACGTCCAGTTTCTATGTAAAAACGTCAAGCGAGTGTTCTAGAATATTTCATTTTCTTTTCCTTTTTCCCCAGAAGAAAGCTTTTAAACTTACTCTTTTGCATGCCTCTAATACACACACGCTGAGGCTGTACTTGCTCTCACCAGAAAATTCGGAATGCAAGGATCCCATAGCAAAACCCAGCTATGTTTATGTTATAGTTTCAGGCATAAACTAAGCAGCAGTATCAGTCTGTGGTATGAGAAATACGCACTACAGCTGAGCACTGTATGGTATGGCAGGCCTGCATTTTTTTAAAATCACTTAATTATGAATTCTAAATTGCTTCGACGCTGTATCAGTGACAGGTTGTTAACATAAGGCTGGGGGAAAGAAAAAAAAGGAAAAAAAAGCAAAAATGGCAGAGGACAGCAAGGGAAAGGAGCCAAATTAACTCTCCCAAGCCCTCTCCCCAGGTCCTGATGGAGAATTGCAGGAGAGGAGGGACATCAGCTCCCTCTCTGGGAGCATCAGCCTCTCCTGGGCAGCTTCCCCCAGCGCCCTCAGCGCTGCAGGCAGCCAGCAGCCAAGGAGGGATGATGATATCCCGACAGCATTCCCAGGGAAACACATCACGGGCTGGAATGAGAGCAATTCAAAGGGAGGCCGGTCACAAGCCTGCAGCATACTCAGCATACTCCGAGGCTTTTCCAAAATGTGTCAGTTTATCTAGCTCAGCCAGCCCCAGCTCCCCGGCCAGATGGCCTGGATAACTCACTGCCCCACTGAAAACACAGCTGACCTGCAAACCCGGGGGGAGGCAACGTCGAAAAACAGCAGGATTTTTCCTACTTGGTGAAAGGCCAGTTGCACACCACCTTTTCCAACCCACTGTCCCACTTGGTGGGACACACAGACCACAGGCATTCCCTTCCCTTCAGCAGCAACCTGTTGCACAGTCAAAGAAGTCACTTTTCCTCTTCTCTAGACTCACCAGTCCTGGATCTTTGGGGTTGGTTTTTTTTTTTTTTTTTTTTTTTTT